GGTCTTAAATTATTGTGCGTCAATCAAAAACGCTGTCGAATATCGTAATGTAACTTGTAACCGAATACGTTGGTAACGTCCATTAAAGTTCAATATTACCTTAATTTGGTATGTTCGACGCTGAAAGGGCGGACGGGGTCATTTTAACGAACATCAGTCGATTCGAGAGTCGACATGCCAAAACTGCCCTAAAATTCTAACATTGGAGTTCTGATTGTTATTTTTGTACGGACAGTGAACTTGAATATTCGTTACGGTGTTTCACATTACATTTCTTGGCGAGTTTTTCAACGTTGCGTACTACGGTAGAACAAAAGCAGCACCGGTAATTGTATAATACGAAAAGTAATAAATGAAAATTTTCAAAGGAAAATATTATAGTAAAGTATTCATCTAGATGTAAATTAGTTAAAACAATGCTAATTAGTGAATAATAATCTTACCGTTGAAATATTATGCCTTTGTTAGTTGAATTACACGTCCTTGATGAGTTTTTACTACTTATTATGCCGCAGTTCACCATTATAATACTTAACATAAATTCACCTACTACGTTCCCCGCGCAACTAAATCACAAAGTGGTGAATGATGTTCGTCAAAACATCATAGTGGTAACAACGTCACGTGTCTATGCCACTTCTAATATCCTTTACGATTTCTGTGGTAGCAACGCATCTGATTTTGATTCTTAATCGAGGATAAATGTAGATATTATGCTCCACAGCATCCACTTGCCATCAGGTGGACTGTGTGCTCGTTTGTCACCTTGTTACATTAAAAAAAACTTGCATCCAACGACTTCCTGCATTTCTTATCAAGTTATCACTATATATTTAGTGGGGAATGCCCTATAATGATCATTAGTCCCACTGTAAGTAATTTCAAGTTTATCCATTAATTAATAAAACACTTGTGTATAAATCGTGGCGTGATCTCTAGTAGACTAACATCTAAAGATAAGTGCGGGGTTTAGCTTAATTCTGCTATATTTCGTATGGTGAGTATAGAGAACCTACAATCATTTTTACTGGTAACGAGGTATTTTATCTTAGCCCTCGGAGATAACTACGCACTTACATTTTAATTCTTAATCTAGAGCATCCACTTACAATCAGGTGGACTTTGGACTCGTTTGTTGCCCTTATTCTCTAAAATAAAAATAAAATAATGCTTTAAACATAGGAGTGAAGTAACATATTTCTGTTTAATATGCTATATACAATATATTATAATATAACATGAAATAACTTGCACGTACTACTCGTATTTATAAAGATATTTAGCTGTGGGTAGTCTCCACTAACACAAGTCAAACATCATGAGTGTAGTTTTGAAAAGCGAACGAAATTCACGTGTCCAATCAGCAATCGTAACCGGCATATCTCACTCAATATTTGCGTCATAGTTTGATACCGCGCGCATTTCAATTGTACAAAGGAAGAACTTGAATTCGTTGCTTATTAAATAACGATAGAACCGTCAATTAGGGTCAATGTTTTGTTTATAAATGAATTCCATTTAAATGAACATGAAATTTAGGATGGCATATATCGTGATAGTTCAAATGGGAGCTCCTTAGGTTTCCCAGAAATTATTATGAGCAGTAGCATGCTCGTACTGTTATGTAAGCTATTTGAATAAAACTCAATTTGCGTAATCATAAATATTTAAATAATCTACCAGAAAGTTTATTAATTATCTAAACTTTTTTATTTCATAAAATTATCAAAATATGATTGAAGTTGTTCTTGAACATTAACAAAATTTTTAATCACGATAATTTCGACGTATTGTACATATTTTTTTTATAGGATAGAGTGACAAACGAGCACACGGTCCACCTGATGGTAAGTGGTTGCTGCGGCCCAATAGACGTCTACATCTATCCTCGATTACGAATCAAAATGCAGATGCGCTGTCATCCGTGAGGACTAAGGTGAAATGCCTCATTTCCAATATACAGGGTCTCCGGTTCTCTACACTCACCATACGAAACACAGCAGCATTAAGCTACTATTTGACGCTGGTATTCTGTGAGAGCGTGGTCCTTCCTCGGTCGAGCCGACCCATTCGTGCTACAACTATACTACTAAATTTAATATAACTGCAGCATAGCTCTACCACGTATAAACCTCTAAAAATTAATACCTCATATCCGAAATTTTTCTAAACGATCTTTCTAAGCATAAATGCATTCAGCTATTTTTAAACTGTAAAAAAATTGTATAAAATATTCGTATACTTTTTGCACTTTTTCGCCTTTTATCTTCGGAAATATCGTGAGCATATAAATACTCAAATTATATTTATTTAGAAATATGAAAAAAATACGAAAACTTGAATATCACCATCACTTGTACTAAAAACACGTATTAAATGGTGGCCACCGTTGTAAATAATTTAATACTCTAAGGATGTATATACACATGACATATACTAATAGGTAATGTAAATTATTCAGACATCACTCCTATATTGAATTCCATAAGGATAAGGAAAACGTTTGACAAGATAAAATAAATTAATAATAAGAATACAATTAGATGAAAAACCAAAAGATTAACAGTGAATGGTATATTTATATCAAGGTGTTAGACTAACTTTAATTTTATTATTTTAAGTGTGTTTGAGTGAGTCTCTGGCCGGTTTAGATTCACAATTGGAAATTATAAAAAGGGGATAAATTTTCAGTGTTTTAGAAGCGTGTTCAAACTCATCGCACATCACAAAAGTCGATTAAGGGCAAAACAATGTGGTATCTAACATATTAATTATTTCAAAAAGTCCCAGCCTATCAGAAGCAACTACTTACTAAGGACCAAAAAGTAAATGTGAATTAAAAAAAAACTCCTACTCATAATTAACCACATTAGTTTTATTTAAATGTTAATTATTACATTTTTTAGCTTCCTTTCAAATAGTCATTAAAAACAATAACTATCAAACCATATAGCAGAGAGATCAGATATTTCTTAAATCATTAGTTTAAGAATTGTTTAATTTTATCGTGATAAAAACAGAAACATTAGTTAGTGTTACTACAGTACAGTTGCGATAAATGTAAGAAATGGGCAACGGCGTGGACGGCTCTCCCGCGGTGGTAGGGAACACTTTATCGATCATGCGCCGTATCATTAGATATCATTGTGATCTATGATCAATGGTTATTCGAAGCCGTGGATTTATTAGGGCTGGTCACATTATGTTGCAGGCACGGCTTGTTTTCCTTTCTTTTATTTATGTATTTATTATTATCGATCAACGACTTTTCTTAAATTTTAAAATATTCACTTGTTATAGTTTTAACCGCATAATTAAAATAACACATTTTTAAAATAATACATTTTTAAAAATAGCCCTAAAATAATATCAAATATATTATTTTAGGGCTATTAAAGTTGTGCAACAATTTATTTGTAATATTTTTAAGATGGAGGAAAAAGACAAAACATCAATTTTAGAATGTTTATCTGCTTGTTCGTCTGTATTTATGTTTGCGTAAAACTCTTAAAAATGTTATATCCAACATCAAAAAAATTAATCAATAGAATCTGGCATTACTTAGAAGATAATATCCACTATATTAAAAGAGAATTTGCTAAGATCTGCGTAACAAAATATAATCATTTGTCTCACCTATGATCCTTATGTTCGCCTCTTTTAAATCTTACTTTTGGTTAAAGCAATAAATAATGTTAAATGTATTATAAATTAACAGGCTAAAAACGATATGCCTTACATAATTTAAAGAGCACTTCCCGCCCTCCCTAAATAGTGTGCACTATACCGTCACCACTAATCTCAGCACTACTACTCCCAACACCACTAGGAAAGACACACCACCTTCGATAACACGACATGTGTTTCGCCTCTACAGGAGGCATCCTCAGGTGATGTAGTCTTTGCGATGGCTGACCGCTGAGAGCGGTGTAGTGGTGGTGGGGCTAATGCTGCTGGGATCCCCATTGTCGCCTTTTACGATACTCACGGGACGAAATAGGTGATGGGTTCCTTTTAGTCAAAATTCGACGTCTCTACTTTATTCTATTCTCATTACAATAAGCTATGTATCGTTAGTTTTAGTTGACTACAGAACTTTCCCGGTTACAAAACTATTTCGTCCAATCTTACGAGTATGTTTTTTCTCATTCACAGAGAGTTATAAAATACTTCGTTTATACGACAGTGCCTCTTATCTTAATAGGTGTACCGGCCCTTATAATGAAACAATTAAGACAATACTGAACGAACAATAGACAAAAAAAATTATGTGAAAACGCCCGACATTAATCTTCCTCACGTGTTGCCTTGTTTGTTTTCCCGCGTCAAACATGAATTCGATTTTTAAACTATAGAGGATTATTTGTGGAGATGGACATATTTTAATTTTTATCTCGTCCCTTGTCCGTTTAAGTAAATGTTTTTGAATATTAATAGGATTCAAGATATATATCTAGCTTACGGTTTTAAAATAATGTTCGACTAGTTTATTTTATTGTTTGAAATCTTATATTACCTCTTAGGAGCTTAGCTTATAAAGTTATAAATAAGTTTTTATGAGTAAATAAATCTTAAATTTAGATTATAAAATAATTTAAATGAAATTCAACTCACTCAATTCACGGGCGTTCCGAGTAGGGGTCCCGAACACCTAGTAAAGTAATCCTCAGAAGCCCGATGACTCGGAACATTGTGATAGCACTGCCCGGGTGTTGGAGGCAGCATGTACGGGCCAGGACATGCTCCCAATAAAGTAAAGTGAGAGGCGATAAAAAAAAGACAGAACCTTGGTTGCATTCTGAATGGAAATTCCGGGACCCCTCGTATACGCTGACGGTGGGTATTACATTGGGTTTTAGTTGGTAGAAGTCCGGCATTCCGTTGCCCCTGCAGCGACAGGTATACATGAAGATTCCCTCACCTTAAAAATGACTGCTGACTGAAAGATTTTCCTATGGGTTAAATTACACGCTTTAATGTGACATGTAGAGATTTTGTACCTTGTGGGATCCCGTGGGAGACACTGGCGCTCTTGCACGGCGACGCCGCCGCCGCACGAACGCGAGCACGAGCTCCACGCACCCCACGTACTCCACGCGTACATTGTTGTATTCGTTTGTATCGCAGGTGTCGTTTTTAGCATCTGGAATTCGTTGAAATCATGTTTTAGATTGTGTTACTATATAGGGGATATCACATTTCATTCCTTTATTCATTACTGCTCATTTAAAGTCTGGAGGCAGGTTCTTCCGTAGATTAATATATAATAAGTTATAATAATAAACTTCGTTAACCCGCAACGTGGCGTGGCAACTTTGGCAAATATTACTCCCTCAAGGCAATCTATGGAAGGCCTGTGTTCAGCAGTGGGTTTTTGTTGTGACGGTAACAGAATTTCCATACGGCGCCACCACACGGTGGTATAAATTTTATTCTAATGCTTACATATTGCACCCACTTCATTAACAAAAAAGAATAACTATGGAGTGAATAATGGTGTTAAATTCTTTTGAAAATGTGAAACCCAAATCTCAGAGACTGGAGATGGAAAACAGTATCATCAGTGTGATGCTTTGATTATACATAATCAAAGGTGTGAGGTAGTTACGGCGATATGTAACAATTTTTTTTATAGAATAAGGGTGACAAACGGGCACACAGCCCACCTGATGGTAAGTGGATGCTGTGGCCCATAGCTATATACATTTAACCTCTATTAAGAATCAAAACGCAGATGCGTTGTCACCCTGAGGACTAAGATAGAATGCCTCGATTCCAGTAAAATGGGTCTCCGGTTCTCTACACTTACCATACGTAACACAGCATCATTAAGCTGCTATTTTTCGCTGGTATTCTGTGAGAGCGTGGTTCTTCCACGGACGAGCCGACCCATTCGGGCTACAGCCATAATATCGCTGCAGCGTGGCTCTACCACGTAAAACATACCTTTGCTAAGCGCGGTAAATTTTATAGTTTCTCCTGTATCAGCAGTTCACATATGCAATTGATGTGGACTGAATGTTTGTTCCCTTTATTTCCAATTGTTTGTAGGCTATACAAATACTTATTTTGAGCGGGATGCGAACCCGCGGCCTTAGGAACCGCAAAGCTAAGCCACTATGCTCTGGAGCCCTCTTTGTTAAAGAATAAAAACGATAAAAACGTTTGAAATAGAGTTGATTTGTCGCCAGGTATGTCATAACTCATAATAACTAATTATGACTTCCTTATACACAACAATAATATCAAATACAGGTAGTATTTACTTACTACACATATTTACTTATTATGTAATATAATTACTAACCCAAATAAATCCGTCGGGGCTGCCATTATCTTAATTCCCAATTTCAATATAGAAAAGCTAAGACGTGCAGGTATTTATATTAATTGGAGATTACATTCATTTACATGCCCAACGTAATTTCAATTAGTCACAAATTCAAAAAAATGCCAAATTTTCATTTCAGGCAGGAAATGACCGCCCCGACAGATTTACTTGTGTAATAGGTAGGTGAAAATGTGTAGTAATGTAAAATTATATTAAAAGGCTTGAAAATTATAATTTGATAACAAATTTAAACAAAAAATACTTAAAATGATGAAATAATGCATTTCCATCAGCGTCGTGCATATCCAACTATTTCTGTTACATACAATAACTGTTTGATAGAAGAGGTTACCAGTAGTCAATTTCTAGGTATAATTATAGACAATAAACTCACTTGGAAACCCCACGTAGAGTATATATGTAAGCGCATGAGTAAATATACGTACTTTTTAAATCATCAAAAAAGTGAATATTGAGACATGACTGATAGCGTATCATGGCTTAGTAGGTTCGATTCTTCGATATGTTTTTGGCGACAATCAACTGACAAAAAATTGACCGCTTAACATAGACCTCCCCCATAGATTGTCTCATTGAAGGGATAGTTGCGATGTTGGGCAGGTGGAGTTAATGTTGGTCTGAATACAGTTTATAATAGGGTTTTTTTACAGTGACAATCATGAAAAATTTTTTACAATGCTGTTGCCCAGAGACATCTACATTTATCGATTAAGAATCAAAACGCAGATGAGTTGTCCCCTCTGAGGAGTAAGATGGAAAGCCTCGTTTCCAGTAAAAAATGGTCTCCGGATCTTTACACTCACCATACGAAACACAGCAGTAATTCTACGCTGGTATTGTGTGAGAGCGTAGTCCTTCCTCGGTGGAACCGACCCATTCGTGCTACAATCATAATATAGCCGCAGAGTGTCTCTACCACGTATGGTAGGTAGCGCTAAAAGACTGTATTGTAATATCTAAAGAATATTTTAAAAAAACTTTTTAAATTGTTTTGTAATATTTAATTGTGTACTGCTTGGAAAGTTTATGCGTAACTAGAAAAAATCTATACATATAAATATTATACAAGGTCGAGTTGAAGTTGAGAGGTGGATCATCGGCAGTTGGGGGTGGAGGATTTCGGTACCTATCACATATCTTTAACCTCCCTGTATGTGATATGATATTCGGCAGTGGTTCAAAAGTTATTTGGACTTTAGTAAAGATATTTCAAAATCAGATTTTAGCCAAATTTCGTAATTTCAGCCCAACTATTGGGTCTGCGACTGTGGTTTTTTTCAAACAAGATAAACAGAGGGTGTATCTTTAGACTAAACAGTGGCTAAAAATTATAAAAATCTAAAAAAAAACTTAAAGTCAAATAACTTTTGAACCAATGAATATCGCATTATATACAAGGGGTTTAATTCGATAGGTACTGAGGTCTTCCACCTTCCAGCCACAGATGATCCACCCCTTAAGTTACACTATGTATAAGAGGAGGCAACCAAGCATGCGGTTCACTCATTTATCTATCACTGTCGAAATCGAGCAATTGATTTGTGATTTTATTGATAGGTCAAAGACGTACGTGAAAATATTCCAGTATAATAATTGACGTAGTAATGGTGTAACTAGGTAGTTCACACTGGGCGTCGTGTGCAAATGGTGAGGAAATCGACATTAATCGCAGCGAAAGTATTCGGATAAATAGTATAGGAATGCATTGCAACAAATATTTATTTCTTTGTCAGACACGTACGCGGGCGCACACAAAACAATTCGCCAAAAATTCATCCGATTCGGTAAGAAAGCATACTGGACAAACAAAAAAATTGTCGTTTTTAGTAAATGTGATCACATACAATATACTTCTACATCATTAATTTTACAAACAAAACAATGAATTAAAGTATAAAGACCTTTTTATGTTAATTTAAAAAATCTTAATTTTTTTATTTAAAACATTATTTCGATCACACTTCTTTTTTAATATAACATCAAGCAACTCAATTTGAAGTCCTTTTTTTAAATAATTGAACTATGTGCCTAAAGACCATTATGATAAATCTGTAGATATTTTTCTTTATATTAATTATACACGAGCGAAGTTGCAAGTAAAAGCTGGTCATGTAATAAACTAGCTAGCTCTTCAAACGGTTCAAATGGAAACACAAAAGCAGTTGTATTGCTGCTTGCCAGCAGAATCAGTAAAATGTCTTACTATGTAGTTACTCTCAATAATGGTTGGTGAGTTTGTTAGTGATCGTATAATAACGAAACGGCTGGTTGCGGTCATATTTACACAATATAATTATGTCGCTTTGTCGAGACGATGGTTCATAGCTGTGTTGAGTGGCGCTGTAATCAACTTACAATCAAACTCATATTTAGAGATCAAAATTCAATTGCAAATCGAAATGCGGTATTCTAATCTAGCGGTGGTGGTGCTGTAGTGTTTTCAATAAGCTTTATGTTTTAACTGAAAAGTACGGAATGAATTGGGAGTGGAATTAAGGTAAGGGACGGAAAACGTCTTCCAGGCCAGCTAGTATAAATATAATCATCACCATCATGATTAAAACTACTTTTACGGATTTTATCGCGTTTATTTTTACTTTTATATTTTTAATTCCCCTTTAAGTCTGCAGTTTGTGATCATATCCTAGACGGCCCCAACCATTACATCAGATTTGATAGACCACAAATCCTCTCGAAAGAACACCGATTCCTACCAAGGATGATACGTGAGGCTATTGAAATTAAAAAACATCCTAATTTCAATAGAGAAGGAGGCTGGGTACTACCACCTGCTTGGGATCCTATAATCAATAAAATTAAAACTAAACCTAAGCATACCACTGCAAGACCTCAGGACATAGTCAGTTCATTTTGCATAGATCGGACCATAAACAATAATTAAAAAAGCTGAAGGTTCTCCGGGTTTAACAATGACATCGGGACGTCAGTCATCTCAGTCCCCCCGTGACCATGGGTGCTGGAAAGCGCCCGAAACGTCGGGAATTAAAAATATAAAAGTAAAAATAAACGCGATAAAATCCGTAAAAGTAGTTTTAATCATGTGCAATGTTCGCGTAAATATAAGAAATCATTACATACCATCATGATCATCATTACTATCATCCACCACCGCAAAACTTAGGCCTCCCTCATAAAGGTGATTTTTAATATGCGAATTGCCAACCGCAGATTATATTTCATTTTCTAGTTGTTTTACATCTCCTGAATTTTCTCTCTGTCACCTCTTGAGACACCCACCTGATCATAATATACATACTATGGGGTAGTAGATGTTCTTACACCGCCACTAAACGGTCAATTATAAGTATAAAAGTATGTAAATAAAACAAAAACCGAGGATTATGTTTCATTTTCTAGTCGTTTTCCATCTCCTGAATTTTCTCTGTGTCACCTCTAGAAACACCTACGTGATTGTAGTAGATATACGGGGTAGTAGATATTCTTACACTGCCACTACACGGTCAATTATAAAATATAAAAGTATGTAAATGTAACAAAAAAACATTACACAAGACGTGGCTGCTATTTAATAATGTACAATTAACGAGTGTAGTATGCCTTCAATTACAACCGTATCAATCAAGTAAAGATTGCTCAAGATGCACGTTGATCACGCCGTAGGTAGCGGTATGCGGAGTAGGCATGACAGCACCGCTATCACAAATGTTCACAAAAACTATATTACAAATTCAAATAGTTCGTTCGGGTTTTGATAGACGCGATTCAAGTTATAAATGAAATCTTATTAGCGACAGCATTACGTCAAACACGTGGTTTTACGTTTGAAACAAAACTGATTAAATAATTTTAACGGGTGCATTTCGGCGCCTGGCTCTCGGATCAACCATATAACCAAAGTAATTAAAATTTAGTTACAGATAAACTTTGTTGCAGACATTGCTATTTTACATCGCACAATGATGAATTCCCGAAATGCGGCCTTCTACTTCTTAGTGGTTTATAAAAACATAACCACGAACGAGATGGTAAGGTATATTGCTCGCTCACTCGATCTCCTTCTAATCTAACCTGTCCGAGTCGGGATGCCCTAAGTCCCGAGCTCGCTTCGCTCGATCTTACACTCAATAAAACATCAAAACATTAACTTTTATAATTATTTAGATTTTCTAGAGTGTTTATGATAACATTTCAAGTCAGAAAACCATATAAAAACTTTAAGTGAGATAAAAAATTAATGAACAGACATTTTTTAATGTTTTTTTAAATGTTTGTTTTTTTTGTGTAGATTAACAAAAAAATAATATATAAATTTCGTTTAATGCTTTGCAAAAAAGTTATGAACGATTATATTCGAAGAAGTGCGTTTATGATCACATTTAAAGTCATAAAACTATATGAAATCTTCATGTGAGATATTTTCCATAATTTTTTCACAGATCCGCCATAAAAATGAAGTTCTATTTATATATAGTTGTTATAATTTTAACCCCAATTTTTAAAACATCTATTTATATATAGTTGTTATAACTTTAACCCCAATTTGTAAAACATGTGTTCTTTAAAAATGGTTTATATCTTTCTTTTGGGTTGAACCACGTTATATGATTTTAAAAAATTCTACCTGAACTAATGATGTGGTGAACCCACTCTATGTTCCACCCAAGGCATGTTGATGGAGAACGAATAAAATACAAAAACGAAATAATTTTACTACGTTTATAAGTAGGTAAACTGTTATAAGAACGACTTTTATAATTTTTTCGGTTTTATAAAAATAAGAAAGATCTTAAAGTAACTGACAAAGGATCACTTAATTCGGAAAATCGACAACCACTGGCGTTTCTTCATCATTTGGTTCTCGAGTGTAAGCTTCGTACTGGTAAGCGCAGTATTGGCCCAACCTCCAATACATAGTGTGTGGACCTGATCCAACTTGCTGGGAGACAATGGATGCCTGTGTCTCCAGACCGTGCTTTAGATTAATCTATTGTGGACGCCAGTGTTCATTCGAGGATTTTAGATGAACTACTATTATGAGAATGATGATGAAGTAAGTTATAATATTAACACCATAACAAAAAGTATCATATATTTGTCCTTTCTCCCCATCCAATTTTGAAAACAGTAGTATGTAAAATATTACTTACCGACGGATTTACTTCTGTGCTGGTTAACTGTGCAGTTATTAGCGCTTCTCTAATGCATACTGTGATGAATCTGAAACAATAAAAATCTTCAATAAATATAATTTACTTGAGTACTTTTTTACTCGCACACACGGTGATAAACTAGCATATAATCCACTTTTTAAATTACTGTACGTTTAAATTTATGCTCATTATCAGATCGCTGGTATTTATACAATATTATACGGTATTATTTTATGTTATTCTAGCACATTGACTACGTTTCGGACACATTCCACTTAATAAATTTGCATTCTTGATGAAAAAGACAAATTCACCTGATTGTGTGGTCTGCGATAAGATAGAAGATGAACGCCATTTATTGTTCGAACCTGTTCGCTACGACTCCGAAAGAAAATTAGTTTCGATTCTCTGAATATTAACAGACAAGACGTAAGAATGTTGCGTACTTATATAATATTTTATCTCAAACATCATCCAAAAACTCCACAACAACTTTTGACCTGGGTTTTAAAATTTTGATCGATTAATTAAGCTGTATATAATTACAGACCTTCACAAGTCGAATTCTGAACACCCACTTCCCCACTTCCCAAGGAATGCCACAAAGTATGGTCATGAGCCACCTGCATCCATCGACTTCCTGCGTGTTCTTCCTGTTCTTAACAGGTCGTCACTCCATCTAGTGGGGGGTCGCCCTACACTACGCCCACCGGTACGAGCCTGCCACTCAAAAGCATTTCTTTCCAATTGGTTGTCGGTTCTTCGAGCCTTATGGCTGAACCATTGCTACTTCAACTTACCAATCCGTTGAGCTATGTCGATTACACTGGTTATACCGCAGATACCCCCTAAGATTATCATTCAGGGAAACCACTCTACAGCTCGCTGATCGTCGACCACGTCTCAAATCCATAAATCATCACTGGCAACACGCACTGGTTGTACAATCTTGTTTTTAAGTTTTGAAGAAATTATTTTGTACCACTTTTTTATAATATTCTATACATTTAAAGACAATGTTTTTTTTTTTTTTTTTTTTTTAAATATATATATAATCGGAATCTCGGTAACGGCTCCAAGGATTTTCATAAAATTTAGTGTCCAGGGAGTTTCGGAGGCGATAAATCGATCTAGCTAGGATTTATTTTTAGAAAATGTCTTTTTGTCCGTGTTTTCAGGCAATGAAAAACTGCTACAATATAAGAAGGTAAATTTTGACACTGTGTTAATGATCGTAATAGCTCAAGTGGATATCGAGCGGTCGCAAAATCGTAATGCCTTGGTTCGTGTGCTGTCTTCGGTCCGATTTTTTTCCCTTTTTTTTCAAGTTCCCTTTTTTTGTGAGAAAATCTATTATTTCGAGCCCTTTTTTTAGTATTTTTTAAAAATACGAAAATTTTAATTAAACTAATTGCACTCATGATTTTTTATTCAAATAACCAGTTCAGTTTTTTCTATTATGTCAATAAGATCAAAAAATATTATTCATCAGTATGTAATTTGTATCTAAATGTAATTTCAAAAAATAAAACCGCGCAAAGCTCGGTCAACCAGGTACTGAATTTTAATAGAACCAGCATAGTGGCGATCACCTCATTCCTTGGAATTATTTTCATTAATATATTCCCTGAGAAACCTTTTTGTAAAAATATTCTAAAATAAAAAATTTAATTTTTTTAAACTTGTTTATTGATAAACTTTGAACATTTTCTGGGTTTTTGTTGTAAAAGTGTATACGTTGCCCCATAAATGAATTACTTATTCTGTGGAGTCTAGTAACTGGTACTTACGTTTGTTTCTAGTCCTTAAAGTATGAACATCTTTATTTTTAGCAAAGCCGTTGATGTTTTTATGTACATACATAACATTTTTATAAATTACGATCCCAAAATTAATATGTTTATTTATTTACATTTTTCTCTGAGGGACTCTTTACAATTTCAGTTGTACTCGCAAATCGTCCGTACGGCCCTCTTTTGTAAAACGTCACGTATGGCATGTTACTCCATAGCAAAATTCAATTAGACGTTACGCTGTGAAAGTAACTAATATAAATTAATCTAGCTGTTTTAATAGTGGTGAGACCTGATCTTCCTTACAGCATATACTGCAGTACTATGTCTGCTTGTTAATTCAGACATACGGGGATCCCATCGAAGCTTCGCGTCAATAGTAATTCCAACAACAACATGGCATCCACAAGGCTTAACTTTCCCCATTTAAGGGCACATTAGTATTCTAATGTTTAACATTAGATATTTATTTTTAGACTATATTAGGTATTGTTAATTTAATACATTTTGTCTTATTGTCGTATAAAAGCAAATTATTGGCGTTAAACCCATGTACTAATTTCAATAGAGCATTATTTACATCGTCATAATTATTGAGTTTGAAAATTGAAGAGGTATCATCAGCAAATAATACTATATCTTGGTTGCCCTCCACAAGATAAGCTAAGTCATCAATGTAGATTAAGAACAGGAATGGCCCTAGAAAAGAGCTCTTAGGAACGCCCGTTGTTACTATCGATCCAGAGGAACCTTTACCATTGATAACGACTAATATGAAATAATAAGTCTAAGCGCAATATTTTGGACACCATAGTGTTGTGATTTGCTGATTAATGTCTCATGATGAATATACTGCCCTTCTTATGAAGAGTGCAATAACTTGGTTTTGGCTACTTTCGAGATAATCGCAGTTAAAGATTTAATTTTTATTTTGTCTGTATCTTCGTAACTATGATAGCTATTTACTTGAAACTTTTACTATACGACAGATAAAATGATGTAGAATTTTTTGTAGTATATTATATTTGTACATACATTTCTATAGACTTCAAAAACACAATAATGTATTTATCTGGACTGCTAATTGTTTTGATAGAGCGTGCCTAATCATAACCGCAATAAGTAGACTACTTAGTACCCGTTAGTAAACTGACAAATTGCTCTTTTGAGTAGCATAAACTGTATGTCCTGTAGTTTCTTTCCAACCATTAGTGTAATAAATGTCTTAGTTATTGCGGCTTTAATTAGTAAAGTTTTAATCAGACACAATGCAGCAGTGGTTGATTGCAAGAATATTATAATTTATATGAAAAATGATTTAAACATAATTACTATGTATGAAAATGTTTATTAATTAAATTAACTGTGGTGAAAAATGTTACAAAAATATCACTTTACCACCTAAAAATAAAAATTAAATCCCTTTAGGCCACTTTAAGTGTTTTATTTCACGAAAATTATGTAATCACGACTTAAGGAACTTTGCAATTGCACATATTATTAAAAGCAAGATAAGTAACTTTAAAAAATCAACTAATCGTTTAGACAATTTTTATTTTTTTTCCTAGGATATAAAAAAATGTTAAACTTAATCTACTAAGGCAGATTATGAGATCAATCATTAAGTCAATCCTAATTCATTTAAAGTAACTTAAATTTCAACGTAAAGAAAACATTGGAATCTGAGTAAAATGTACGTTTGACATGTCTGAGTTTAATGTATCATCGTAGTATTAAGTCACTGGGTAAATAAAACTTATTGGGGGCATGTTCACGGCGATAATGTTATATTGTTGGATTGAAACTTTGAATATGTTCTTTAATTATCTGTTTGCTTAATGAATTAATACGTTCATAGCTTGAAGATGATGACCAAAAAGACAAACGAGGGCTTGTCTTTTTGGTCACCATCTTCCTTACTGAGTGCCAAATTAATGTATCTATTATTTGTTGGATTATATCCAAGTGTTGTCATAAAAACAACCTGCCAAACTTCACATTTTGATAAAATACATTTTGTTATTTGGCGGTTATACTGTTCATTTTTTCATGGATTTAACGGTATATGGTTAAACCATCCCTTTAATAAACAATCCTCTTGATTCCCAATTTAAATTTATGTACCGATCGTGGATATCTGTTCAAATTTTTTCTGCAAAATTTGCCATACACTTTTTTCCACATAAATCATCGCATAGTGGTAATAATACTAACTCTTCATCAGCGCTTTCTTTCTTCTATTTGTTGCATTGTCTCAATTAAATGCACACCCTTTTACTTGGTAGACCTCATTTGGTAAATCCTTTTTGATTTGCAGGTAATACTGATGGTGACTCTACTTGAAATGGGTAAATCGAACAGAAAGAAAGGGTTTTTTGTTCGGTATACGCATCTTCAATTTCATTTTCTAGTCCATCAACATCTACATCAACAATTTTTGTTGGTTTTAACTCATTTTCGAACACCCAAACTAGTGACTGGTTTTTTGTTTCTGGTTCGTACGCATATATCCAGGATTCGTCACCTGATACGATGTTGTATACATCATTTGAGGATCCTGCGTGGAATCTTTCGAGAGTTCTGACACACCAAGTAACGAGAGCCGCTTTTTGCTCTTCACAGTGCGAATGCGGTATCCATCGGGAAAACTACTTTTTTACACCTAATTGTTCATGCAAGATTTTTGTATTTACTTAAGTCATATTGATCTTTGGCACAGCATTTTTCGTGGGGAGGTTGATGTTTGGGGGGTTTGAATTTCTCGAGTCAATTCCATTTTCTCAACGACTAAACAAGTTTGACAAAACCTTGTCACAAGACCGAGAATCTTTTTTAAATAAATAAATGGTATTCGATTTTTAAAACCAAGGAGTTTTCAATTAAAAAGATTTTAATATGACAGGAACAGTGGAAATATTCCATTCACGATACTTTTAGTGCAGCCCTCGTATGTACTTAAGTCAAAAAGCCAAAAAAACTCGAGTTATTGCACTTATCGTAAGGACGGCAGTATAGTCGAAAGCCTTGAAAAGATCACAAAAAATATCTATGATGTCTTTTAATTTCTACCAGGCATTAAAATATATATTTAATATGCTCAAAACCGGGTAAAACCAAATTGATTTTTATGGAGTTATTTATTTGTATTTAATATTTTTAACGATTGATCGAATATCTTTAAAAATTTCTCTGAGAGTTAGTGGTACAAAAATATATCTAAAATAAGGGGGTCCAATGTACTATCAGATTTAAATAAAGGTATTAATTTACTGTA